TTAATCGTTAGAATTTTTAAAATTTCAACTGTTTTTTTGGTGGGACTGAATAATTAAAAGATAAATGCACACTCTTGTCAAAATGAACTTTTGTTACCCCCAAACGTATTATCGTACTGTGTATAATCTGTTCTGTATTATGTCACACGTATTAGATTTTATATTATACTTTATTGCAAATTCTTTTGCAGATTAAAAGGTTTTGCTAGACGTAATTTCTATATTGAGTTTTAGTTCAAGTCAATTTTTGTTAGTGATAGAACAGTCAATACCTGTAATAAGTGCCGTGAATGAGCCAGATGTTATCATATATTCTGTACATCGGTTGTCTACATGAACTACGTACAGCTTGTCATACATGTCGGCACTTGTAATATTGTACACAAGAAAAGTTGGTACTTCTGTAAGGCCAGACTTTTTTTATTCCTTGTTTCTCGAGTTTTTATAAGGCAATTTTTTGAGGAGGGCGGGGGAAAAAATAAAATTAATTCTTTTTTTCCATTAGATTTGTGTGATTCTCAAAGAATTGTAAGTGAGATCATTGATCGGAGAGAAGAAATGAAATAAAATGTTATTCCATGCATAACCTTGTTTCTCATCTGCGCGAGACTTCGGTACTTTGATCATGATACTCCAGCGAAAATGCAACTTGGGTTTGTTATGCGGCGGGCGAAAAAAAAATGAAGATAAAAATAAGTTTTTTTAGCAATTTTTTGCACTTACAAGTCGGCGGGCGCGAGAAATTACGCTGAAATAAAATTTTATTTTTATTTCATTTTCGGCTCCTGTTCATTCAACGGGTTCGCGAAAGAAGGGATAATAAAAGTCTGGCCTAAACAACTTTTACCCTAGTGTTTGACACTTTCATTAAAGTGTAGTATTGTTGGTATTTTATTGCTGATTTTAATTGTTTCGTTTTAAGTTTCTAATAACCGAAAATAAATATATAGATTGAAAATACTTCAGTGGATAGAAATAAACAGTAAAAACAAAAGTTTTGTTTCGTAATTAGTTTACAAATATGCTCAGTAGATCGAAGTTCAGTGGTGTACCTTCATGTTTTTATGTCGGAGTCAACAACGCTATCTTTAGAGTTATTTAGTGCTTGCTTCACAGTTGACAGGGCACCCATATTCAGGGGCAAAACTGTTGAAATATCAAAGGGCACCAAGGCAATTGCCTTCGCTACCTCCATCAAGTTCAAACCCTGTAAATATTTTTCTATCCAATGCTGGCATTTACGTTCTTCATCAATGTTTGATCACCAAAGTGGATTTTGTCATCTTTCACAAAATTATAATAGTTTCCAGATTTTTCCCCAGAAATGTAGCCATTAAGAAATTATGTTCATTTGATTCAAAATTGTCTAAAAAAATTATTGGAAATACT